TAATAGGGAATTAGATTTTCTCTAATCAGATACTAATATACTTATTAATCTTTTTATTATCCTTTTTTCTTATACATATTTTATCTTTAATAAACTTATTTTACATGTGTAATGTTAAAAATATAATGATTAATTGTTACATAATTTATAATTTATAAGGTGTTCTTTTACTTAAAAATAAATATATTATTACAATTATTTTAATGAACCCAATAAAGTTACCAATAAAAAACAACCACTTAAATGTCTCGTTTACCATTATAATTTGTAAAAATCACATTATAAAAATAATAATATAATATATATTTTATAAGATTATTTAAAAAATTTTAATTTTTTAAAATATATCAAAAGATAAATATATTTATAAATCTAAAAAATACTGATAAAATTTTAAATATCATAATAAAATAATTTTAAAAAATAAAAAAATGTATATTATTAATATAAGTAATTATTTTTTAAATTATAATTAATTACATGATTTTTATTTTTAAAATTTTATATTAGAGTTACTATTTTAAACTAAAATTTCATAATTTAAATTTATTATTTATAATATAACAATTATTTAAAAATTCATATTGTAATTTATAATTGTAAAAAAATAGTTTTAATAATTATAGATTCTTATTAATATAATTTTATCTTTTACTATTTTTAATAAAATTTTAATTAAAATTAATAAATTATTTTTTATAAATTTATAATATATATTTTTATAAGAAAACAAACCAAATTAATATTTCTTTTATTATTAAATATAAATTATTTTAAAGAATTAAAATATTTTAACTAATCTAATTTGTGATTTATTATGCTATAAGATTAAATATAATATTATTAGATATGCTTTGATAAATCTAATAAGCAAATTTTTATCTTTAAAATATATTTTTTTTAAATTAACTATTTTAGAAATAAGTTTATGATACTTATTTTATAATATTTGAATTAATTATAACTTGGTGATATTATGTATAATTGATTGCAATTTCAAAAAAAGAAAGTTTTTTATAATTATTAATATCAAATATCTTTTAAATCCTATAATTGTAAGCCAATGTATTTTTTACTTTATAAATTAATATAATTAGAAATTTATAAATAATTTAATAATTATAAAGAATTTTTATATTATAATTTTAAATTATAATTTATAAAAAAAAATAGCAATATCATTAAATCATGACTTATTTCTAATGGAAGAATTTTCTGGTCGATCTTAACTCCGGCAGAAATTAATAAGGCCGGACAGTTAGATTAACCTTTTTTTTCACAGAAAAGCAAAGAAACTTGGAATATTGTAACATTTATACATTTAGATAATAAAAAAATATTTATATAAAAAATAATTAAAAAATAAAAAAAATGGCCAAACATGATTTCTTTTTCTTTTTCTTTTTTTTTAAAAAAAAAGAGACCAACAAAAGAAAAAATTAAGTACAAGGACGAAATTTCCTATAAATTAATAAACACATAAAAATCAAGAAATATATAATCCGTACTCCTGGATGTATTTGATAACAGAATTAGGAAGAAGGTATTTTATGGACATTCCGCGCTTCACGAATAATCTATTAAACAAGTAATGTCTAAATAGTGATAAGATAAAAAAAAAGGTTAAATAATAATAAAAAACATACCGAACTTTCGTTGAGCTAATGTCGTTGTAGATCAATTGTTTGATTACAAATACATTTTTCTGTATGATTTATTAATAATTAATAATAGGATCAAGTATTGATTGCTCATAAAGATTATATATTATATACCCTATGTTGATAAAGTATGTCGTGACTTAATAAAAAGCCCCAAACGTCGGATCCAGTTCTTTCGACAATTAGACATCCATATTTACCAAGGATATGATGAAGCTATCATATGAAAATATATAAGATGGTTCAAAATACACTACACAACCTTAAATACATATAAATGAATATGTAACAAGCAACGTACATCATCATCCTGCCAAAGATCAGGTATTTTGAAAGATTCGATCAAGTCACCACCAGCAAGAAGCAGAACTCTCACATTAAGATAATCACCTTTAATAATAAATGGAAAATTTTTAAGTATAGTTTAAAAAGAAGGTAAACCTAGATATTAAAGTTAAAATTACCATTAGTTGTCTTAATGCCACCACGTTTGATGTTTAGTTCTTCATTAAAGTGATCAAGGACCATTGCTGTTCTAGTGTAATCGTACTGAAGAGATTCCCATGCGTCAACCATTAACCAAGTGGAAGTTCGTTCTACCGCAAGTTCACACATGCGAACTCTATGATGAGATGGCGCTAGTCCTTCCTTTTGGTAATGATCTGATACAGGGGAATAGTATCCTCCGACAATTTCAAAATTCGTATTCTCGAGGATGTAATCTTTCGCCATTTCTGTGAAGAAAATAAAAATGTGAACACAAACTTTTAAATACACGAAGGTAATTGAATAAATTAAAATAATACTGTACCAAAAATTCGTAAATGTAAATAAGTTATTGGCGAAAACGACCCACACGCGATTAAAACAACAGGTTCTTTCGTTTCATCTACTGGATTTTGATTGAGGATGTAATTCTTTCATTATTTAAACAATATAATAATTACTAATTGGTTTGTTTCTTGACTTGTAAATCCTATATAAAAAAAAGCGTTAAATCGAACAAAATACGATGAGAAAGAATCTATTTCTGAGCTATAATGTTCGTGAACGTTACATTTTAATGAGAAGCTCAGAATTTTTTTACACGTGTTTATTTTTGAATAACGGAGCATTTCGCACATACACGTGTTATTTTAAAGAAGCAAGGTAAACTTTATTTCATTTGACATTTTATATATAACGTAAAGCAATGGAAGAAGCGTACCTATAAGTCCTGAATTAAGTCTATGAGACGGAAAAAAATAATCTTCAAGAACTGAGGGTTGAAATTTAACAGCTGGATCGTCGTCTTCCAGCTCAGTGGCCGAAGGAGAGGGTAAGCGTGAGTTTTTATTTTGACCATTGATTTTAGTTTTTTCATTTAAAGCCATAGCGTTGTTATTGTGAAAGAACAAAAGAAATTTTTAAAGTAACACGGAACCTAATGAATATAATAAATAAATTACTTAATATTATTCCCACGCTCTTTGGTTTGATTGGTTGGTCGGGTAGATGTTGAATTAGCATTAGTCAATCAATCTGATTGATATGGATAGTGATGAAGGAGAAATTTAAGATCGGATCGATTTTTAGACCGATTTTTAGACCGGTCTTAAGATCAGATTTTAAACTCAAAATTTACGATATGAAAAATTTTAAAGATTATAAATCTAAGATTTTATACAAGCGTTATTGGCGGAAGCTTATTAATATTTATCGTTGATTTGTTAATTAACGCCTGTATTTCTATTTGGGAATTGCTAAAGTAAAGAATGGTAAAAGAATTTTATTTATAATAATATTACATTCTGTACGTACATGTATTTATTTTTATCCATCATTTTTTATCAAACATTGGAAGATTTTGTTGAAAAACTGCTAATAAGAGCTTCATTAGTTTATGCCCATTTAATAACATAATAGAATTTTGCAAAAAAATCATGATTCTTGGTGAATTGATAAAAAACCATGAACAACTTAATTTACAAATCTTTTTCTATAAAATTGTTATTTTTGTACAATAATCACGTGCCTTGTCTAATTAAGACGCATTTGTGCGACTATCTAATTTTATTCCAAAACCGTTCGAAAATAAAAATCGTTAAAAATACATCACACTGATTTTTCGAAATTTTAAAATAAAAATAAAGATTTTTTTTGGCAACGCACCATGCATTAATTTCTTCAATCACGCGTGCGTTTCACTAAACAAAGCGCAGTACAAATCGCAGTAAGTCACGTTGATTATTTGCTCTACTACTTTTTATATGTCAAATCTGATTTTTAGGCCGATATGTTTAAATTTAGTACTAATTTTTTGTTTTTTTTCCGGCAGTTTCTATTGCAAAGGTCCCATATGATCGGATCGTCTCCCTCCAATTTCAGAATTTTCCACCCCCACGTGAAATGTACAATTTGTCACCCCGCGTGCCTCCCTGTTTTAAAATTATCGAAGAAAAGAAAACATTGTCTATATTTTTCCTGATTGGATATGATACACCGAATTCTTAATAAAGAAATGATCATTTTTTTATATTTCATTTATTGTCAAAACACTTTATATCATGGCCATAGTACCCCCATGTGTAATATCCTACCGAAATATTTTTTTTAGATTTTTAAAATACCCGGATATTATACATGGAAATTTCAATTTTAGATATTTAACATTTAATAAAATATCCGGGGTATAATATTATGAAACAAAAAAAGACCGATTTTTAAGCAATTTAAATAAATTTTTCAAAAAACATTAATATAAAGTTTAAATTTGATTTATTATTTCAAAATACTTTTTTTTAATATATTCTTCTTATTCATCTGTAGAAGATAATTCTTGATCATCTTTTTTATTTATTATTTTGAACAGTCCATTCGTTCTCATAATCTTTTTCTCCAACATATTCTATATTATTATTATCTACCTCTTTAATTTCATTATCATCATTTACCGGACCTGATAATTTATCATAATCAACCATTAATTTTTGTAAGATTATTTTATTTTAATCCTTCCAGCTGGAGTAAAATTATGTGTTGTAGATAACTTCCATTTATTATATTATTTTTTAACCTATAAGTTATATAATTAATAGAATAAATTTATTCCTCACCCCGGGTGAGGCATGTCATTTCTCATCCCTATATTATTTTTTGTATGCATTTATTATTTAAATTCTGCGCCAATTATAACGTAAAAGAATATCACAATAAAACTAATACTTTAATCTCGCGTTATTACTAAATAAATCTAACACACTATTACTAAATAACAACTAACAATTTGCATTATTATACACCTTAATTTCGCATTATAAACATGTGATTAAGTATCATAACTAACTTTTAGAACAAGTGCTACGATAATGACCATATTTTTTCGCATAAACCACACTTTCGATCTCTATCAGATATTGCTTGTTCGCTTCCATCTTTACCTTTTGAACCTGATTTTTCAACAGATGGTTTTAACCATTTTATTGGTGGTTTTCCTTTTGGTTGATGCTTTAACGGATCTAATATTTGATTAGAATTGATCAATACTCCGTTTGAATCACAAAGAATTTGATTATCATTTATTTTTCTATTTGCTAAAGCTTCTTGTTGCCTAATTGATTCTGCTTGAATTAGCTGAGCTTCTTTTCTTTTATTAAATTCTTTTATAAATTGAATTAACTCATCATCATCATCTTGAATTGCAAACTGAATTCTTTTTGGCTTCGCCCATTAAAGTACTAAATTTCAGTTAATTTGCGATATTTGCTTGGAATACTTTTCTGAGAGATCGTTTATAGTATATTTTCAGGTAAATTTTGAAGTGATTTTGATCATTTAGGCAAGTATTCATTAAGGGTGCAGACTTTTGCTTTTTTAAAGTCACGTCACTTTTTCTACGTCATATAAATTTATATGTAATTTTATACCTTTTGCTGTGTCTTTATTCAGGCATAATTGTGATAAAGTTATTGTGATTAATTCAAAGAACTAAATTATATTGTCTAAGTTTTATTTCCAGCCCTCTGGCTAACACTGTTAAAATTCCAATCTATATACATTTCATTAACATTTTTTGCATGTCTTTAATAATTATAAACATTTAGTTTTGCACAAGTTGTATATTATAAAGTGTTGATTCAAGTCCTAGAAGAGATATAGTTAAATATTAATATAATATAAAATAATATTTTTAAAAACTTACTTCTCTTTTTTCAAAAATCATTTTCTTCTTCCTCCGTTTCTTTTTTTTACCTGTAATTTACTTTATCTTCACTCTTTTTTCTATCACTTGAAAAATAAGTTTTCTAGTTATTGATATCATCATTGTTATGATTATCCAATCTTTTTATAGCAACTGTTCATCCGAATCTTTCTGAACAGGTATACTTAATATTTCACTAAATTCTTCTGAAAGATCAAAATGAGACAAAAAATGCTGAGTACTTCTGCATGTGAAAACAACTAATTATTGTTTTCTAAAATAATTCATATTTGTGTAAAAAATATTCTAATATCAAGAAATATTTGCTTCAGTAAGTTAAGTAAAATTTTATTTGCATTTGCTTTAAAATAAGACTAATTAAGTATTATTTTATTGCAGAAGTCAGAATTTATATTGCTATCTAAAAAGATGTTTAGATTATTCAGGATTTAAAAAATATAAGGACTTTTAAAAGAAGAAAGAGCAAGTTTAATTTAACCTATAGTATCAATAACAAAGTTTATTTATACTCTTGTGATTATAGTTTCTAATTATATTTTTATCAATTGAGCATAAACAAAGTTAGAAAATTAATGTAATGTAATTATAAGATTATTGATCAAAAATTAATTTTTGCATATGATGCAAAAACATAATTTTAATTTATTATTATTTTGATCTTTCATAAATTTTTAACATCTGTCTATATATTTATTATAATTCTCTTCATAAATTATTAGATTTTTACAATCAAATTTTAATTTTTTCTATATAATTATTAGCTGATTTCTTTCTAATTTTTTTAATTTATTAAAATCCATTTTTTTTTCTTATGGTTAACAAAATATTAATTGTATACTTATCTTCTTCTATACAAATTTAAAGTAAAATGCTGAAGTATTCCTATTATAATAAAACTTTTAAGGATCATTAGACCCTGGATAATCATATAAGAAAACATAGATATGGTAGTGATAAGATGACTTATCTTTATTAAATCAATCAATTTATAGAAAATCTCAAAATCCAATTGATATTACAACTCAAATTCTTTGTGACCCTAATAAAAAATTAAAAGTAGATTATAAGATATATATTAAATAAAATTTAACCAATAATCAAGAGAATATAGTTGATACAGTTGATATATAACATTTTAACATTAATATGGTTAGTATAAGTGATAGCAGTTTATCAAATAAGAAATCTATAATATCAAATATAGAATCTAATGATTTTGTAGAATCAGATGAAAAATCTGCTATATCTAATAAAGAATTAGTAATATCTGATCAAGAATAAGTATCTGATAAGGAATCTATAATATCAGATTTATCGTATATAACAGATGATAATATTGATAAATATATTGAGTATGATGTCATATTTAACAAAATCCCAAACGATTCTTCAGATATTTTCTATCTAAAAAATATGCAGAATTTATGTATATAATTACAAATTTCGTATACAAGATTAACTTATCAATACATTTATACAATTTTTTAAAATATAATAATAAACCATTACCTTTAACATTTTAAGCTAAACAAATTTTTATGGAAAATTTACAACTTTCATATTTTGTTTGACAAAAAAAAACAAATTTCAAGTATAAAGAAAAAGAATATAACTTTGAGTATATGATAGTACTTAATAAAGTTTGATAGATTTTATCAAATAAGATAATAACTGATGATTTTATATTTAATTATAAACATCTACTGAGAATGTAAATATAATTCTTATTTATTTATTTTTCCAAAAATATAACTATTAATATTTTTTTGATTTTGTAATTAAAGGATTCTAATAAACATCAGTATACAAATATAAATGATTCTAATTATTAGAAAAATGTAAAACAAAGTATCCCAATAAAAGTACATGCTATGTCAATCATTCTGTATGCTGATGTTACTCTTTATGATCATTTAAGTAAAACATCATAGCATTCAATCTTTATGACTCTTAGAGAAACTATTGATAATATTAGTATCTATTTATATGTTAATGGTAATCTTAAATAGTTTTATCTATTACTAGCACTTATAATTTTAGATTAGCCTGAAGCTTATACAATGTGTAATTATAAATCATCAAATTCTTTACATTCATGACATTTTTGCCTAGTAAACCATAATGCAATGAATAATGTTCATATTAAAAAGGAAGATATTATTATTTATAATAAAAATAATATTAAAAATGTTTTACATCAGTTACATCAGAGTAATAGCAAGAAAATTTCTGTATATTATATAAGAAATTTTTTATGGAATCAACTATAAGTAATTTTATAAAATAGCAATATTAAAAATAATGTAAAATTAATAATTTTATTATACTATATTAGTTATTTTAATGTTTATACCATGTGCAGTGATGTACATTTTCGATGTTCCAAACCTTTTGAGATTGTCTCACACTATGTTTCAAAATGTCCCACATTAAGTCCCAATGTTTCAGGCCATGTTCCAAAAATGTTTCATGATAACACTGACCATGTATATGCCAGACTAAAGATGCCAGCCAAAACTTCCTCAAAATAATTTCGTCATATCCCTTACTATATTTTTAATATAATTTCAGCTAATTTCAAGTTTTGGGGTTTCGTCATATCCTTTACTATGTTTTAATATAGTTTCAGCTATTTATTAATTGCCTTTTTTGAGTTTCGTCCCTCATCTTTATGCCAGACCATATATATAATATGAATCTTAGCCTTTTTCAATACTAAATATGATTCATAGTTGAAATATTAGATAATGATTTAATAAAAATTCTTAAGAAATGCCTATCACAAATTTCTTATTAAAATTTTTTAAATGGTTTTGAAAGGCTTAAATAGTTAACTGTATCTGAATATCAAGATTTAATAAAAATCATGCTATTTGTTTTAGATGAATTAATATTGGATAAAAAACTTAATAAGAACTTATGCAACCTTTATTAATTATAAATTGATATGTACTTATAGAGCTATTAACATAAATATACTGAATTTAATCTTCTTGAATTTAAAGTAAGTTCATTAATTATAAATAATTCATTAAAATAGTATAATTATTAATTTTTCTAATAGGAATCAATTGTTGTATGAAGTGACTTATTTATCAAGCTTATGTAAAAATTTTCATTATTTAACCTAAATCTACCCAAGTTACACAACTATCACTTTCATTTAATATCATAAATTCACCAATTTGGGACTATTAATAGTTTTATAAGTGAAACATGAATTATTACATAAAACTAATGTTAAATAACCATATTGTATGATAAATAAATATAATATAAATATACAGATACAATATATTTTTTGATGTAATATTATTATATTATTTATTTTTAATAACTGAATATTATTACTTTTAAGGTATAACATCAGAATATCTTTGTATCTTTTATATCAAAACTTCGCTCACAGCCTTGTAATCATATTTACCATAGTATTACATCAAAAAAGATAAAAAAAATGACGCAATATACAATTAATCTAATTATAGATCAATTAAAAAATACATAAAATTTAAATGATTTATGAATTCATGATTAAACCTTATATTAATGATTATTTCAAGATGTTGAAGGGAGATCTTTACAAGATATCGAAAATGAAACAATTCAAATTAAAGTTATTGAATTTGCATATTTAAATATTAATCATAAAGTTATTATTTATATAACATCTGATTATTTTAGACAAGTAGCTTTTTCAGATATTTGTATTGAAATGGATGAATCAGAACAAAATGATTATTTAACAGATAATGGTTTATGTTTGCAAAGATATATATCGATTCTATACCAGATTGGATTATATGCTCATCTATATATTATTCAGACATTGATAGCTTCTATGATATTAATAATGATATTTAGCAGTATAGCTTGCCTGATCTGAAGGATCATTTGATCTATTATATTTATATTTATAAGATATATATGTAGCATTTACAACCAATGCTGATTTTATTTGATCCTTTCTATGAAGCTCTTCTTTGAGAATATTTGTAATTGCATCACGTGCTAATGCTATAAAGTGAGGCATATATAGTATATTTGCATATTTTTTTGAACTGTCTTGCTTTTTATTAAATGCATATGCTGGATTTTTACATGAAGGAATAATCACCTCTCATATAATCATACAATTAAGAGAGCTATATTGTCTTGCAGGATCATACCTTCTTTCCAAAAATATTATATAGAAGCTGATCTATTAAAAATTGGTTACGGAAACCTTTCAACAAAAAACAAGATTTTGATTCATATTATAGTATATTAAATGAACTTTATTTGATTAAATTTTAGAAGCTATTAGCTTATTAATAAAACAAGTAATTTGGCTGGCAAAAATGCTTAAATTTCTGTGTAATATCAATCAAATATC